TAATTCCTTACCATCAAACTTCTTAAAGTATCAAAAACAACTGATAAAAGTCTCAAGGACGATACATTAGATTTAAAAATGTTACATATACTAGGTAATCATGCAATAGATGACATCACTTAATTAGACTACTAGGTTGTAGGAATTTGCACAAAAAGCATACTATCATTTGTGCAATTTAGTCTTCTAATTTCCAAATATGCAGTTCCTCTAATAAAAGTATATTTAAGAAAAAAGAGTGAAGCAGCCAGAGGAAATTAAATTGATGCATATTGAAGGGGGGAAAAAAAAGAGGAACAAGAAACAGCCTGTAAAAAGCAAACAAGTATCCTCCATCTGCTTACATCATGCAGTGTAGCAGTAAACTTTTTCCCAATTTCAATGGCATCATCAAATAAAGACTCACCGTTCTAGCTGGAGCATTGACACCCATTGCAAATGTCTCTGTTGAGAACAATACCTACAATAGAACCAGAGGATATCGTCAAATATATTGCACTATGATTTAACAGAACATATGTGTCTCATAGCCATATCGCTTAGAACCACAGGATTAGTTCAAAGATTGAAATAGCTTGTTTAAGAGAAAATGAGAAAGGATTACAATAATAGGACACCAAGGAAGTGCAACACGTAAAAACGAAACATATTGATCAAAGATAGATTATATAAAAAAAATAAAAAATATCCCCTTTGTCAGCACCAGTTGAGCCTTAAACAAAAGATACAGAGGATTCTTATTCAAGGACCAAAATGTTTCACAATGAAAAGAAACAGGCAGGAGGTTATGCAACTTTACTTTAATCACACCACGACAGAAAAGCATTTCAACCACTTCTTTAACAATAGGAAGCAACCCTGCATGATGAACACCAATCCCTCTGCGAAGAAGACTTTGAACTCTGACAACCTGTACAACATATCAGATAAATATGTCTGAAATTCAGGTAGTTCTACGTAAATTTAAAAAGAAATAAAAGAGAAGCAACATAGGGAACCAAACCTGAGGTAAATTGCGGTCAGACCCCTTCAGTCTTGAAAAAGCTTTGTCACAAAATACTTGGATTTCACTTTTCTCAGAACTACTAGTGAGATCAGTTCCATACAAACTATCAGCTGATTTATCACAGCGATTCTTTGAGAAACAGAATATAACTACCTAAGAATGGAAATTAAAGCAAAAACGGTCAAAACATAGTAACTTAGATGACCATATGCATAACGTTTTTTAAAAAAATTGCCTAATACAAACATGGTATGTCAAAATAATATACAAAACTTCATTACTTTTTTTTTCCTTTTTCTGGTCCCATATAAACCGAAAATCTGTATCTCAGTCTAATTAATTGGCTTAACAGGACATGATTGTTCATTAACAACAACCAATGTACAGATAAGTAATAACAACAAAATGTACCAAAAGAAAAAACTAAGAGATATTTTGCAACTTTTGAAGGAGGGCTGTCATTTTGAATCTTCACAAACATTTTTTTTCATGCAAGTAACGAAAATGAAGAAAACTTGAATCTGCAAGAACTTTCTGCTCTATTATTTTCAAATATTACCAGAAGCCAAGTACTAAAAATTACTTTTGGAAAATATAAACATACAGGCAGTAGTGACATTTTAGAAAGCTTGTTAATAAGCAACAACCAAACTGAAGCTTCTGATCTACGCAACCCCCAATTGTTGTGGCCACTACCATTATTCTGATTCCCTCCACCACGCCCTGAGATGTTCCCAGAATTTATTGAACCAGAATGCTTGCTCTGTTTGCTACGGTTAGGATTTTCACGTTTCTGAGATCGAGTCCCATCATGAGCTGCTGAAGATCCAACATATCTTCCACCACTAACTGAAACCGGATTCTTTTTCTTACATGCATCTTTAGCAGCTTTCAATCCTTGTGGAATAAAAGATTCACTTTCACACACTTTGTAAAGTTCTCCTGAATAAAACAGGCAGTGCTCTAGTGGGACAGGTCTTTTACTAGTCCTGAAAAAAGAAATAAACAACCTCAGAACCAAAAAAAATTAAAAAGCTGATAAGTTGACCAATAATTATTCTTTATATGATAAGGAAATAATCGCACAAAACTCAAGATATTCCAGAGGAATATAACTGAATTAGTTATCATCATACCGTTGCCACTTACCCAGTAACACGAATCTGCTTTTGCTTTGTCCGACCAATCCAGTCAGCAAACTCAATTGTGTTTGGCACCTGAAAGATAAGAACAAATGTTGTATGAAATATATTGGCATGGTATGCTCCAGAAGGAGATGAAGATGCACCAAACAAGAGATGCAATGCATACACGTGTGGCAGGTGAACAAGCTAATAAATGGCCTTCACAAAATACAGAAAGGAATGCAAGTGACAAGAATATCCTTGCCGATCTTTGTTTCAGTGTTACATGATTATGGAGGTTCACCAACTATTCAAATTTAAAACTCCTTAAGCACCACTAGTTTATGAAAACTAAGATATATCAAGAACGACAAAATGGGAAGTGTAGTTTGCAAAGCCTTGCAGTTTTGCCAACAAATGATTATAAGTAGAATCCAAGATAGCATAAATGCAGATCATCTCATTAATAATTAACTATATGAATTTAGGGGTCATGAAGGGATTTTTGAGGAAGTTTGAAACATGGGTAGTATGTTGTTATGTTGAGTTCTCTTTCAGGTGCTGATTCAATTCAATGGATGATTTCGAACATAACCTCTGAATTCTCTTTCAAGAGCTTCTAGAAAAATGTTTTGCTTCACCTCCTCTTTTCAATTTTCTATCCAACACAGATGGCTTCATAAGAAAGGATTCAAATTTCAAGTCAAAATCAACTGGTTCAGACAACAAATTTCCCTGCCATGAGGTCACTTCACTCAGAAATTTATCGCGTAGGCTTCAAGTTTCTGGAATTGCTGATTGGTTCTGAACACAAATTCCTATGATATGTCATCCTTGTCTATCTCTTCAAATTTCAAGACCTCTAATTTGTAGCCTATTGGTTATTCGTGTGGCTCCAGTTTTCAAGTTTCATTTGTCACTTGAGGTCTCCAATAATGGCAGTTTCAGTTTAGTCTCTGATTTTGCAATTTCATATATAAATTATATATATTACATTGGTAAATAAAATGCCAGATCGACTATTTATCTGTATTGCCAACTAAGAGTAGCTACCACCAGCTCATAATATATCCAAAAAGTTGCAAACTTCATGTTCTCAATGAGATTCGAATTTGTGACCTTCAAGTGGAGCACAAATGTCTTAACCACTAGACTATCATGATCGTGGTGCTATTTCTCTATATTAGCTATTAGCTTTTAATCAATTTAGATATAATTCTATCATCAATTTGGACAGTTTCCGACTTGCACATGGCCGTATTTTTTAGCCTCATTAGGGTATCAATAATATTTGTCATTTTACCTTCCCCCCAAAAAAAAGAACAATTACCTCCATGAAACCAACAACCAAATGTTCAGTGCTTATAATCCTAAATTCCATAAATTTATAGGATATATTACCTTTAAACTGGTCAAGTTTTGTTTGCATCTAGAATAAAAAGAAGTACATCTACAATGAGTACTTTTTTAATGTGAAGGGCTAACAGACAAAGCCCGAGCAGAGATAGCACCTTAAGCCAATATTAGCCAATACAAATTATCACAAAAATTGTTACTCCAACCGCTAGCTCGTAAGATTGCATACGTATAGATAAAGAAAACAAATACCGTCGCAGAAAGGAGGACAAAATTTATATGCCTTGGAAAGCATGATTATAACTTCTTCCCAAACTACACCTCTTTCAACATCATTGACGTAGTGCACTTCATCAAATATAACCTACCCACCATATGCACAACAATACAGAAACAAATAAGCCATGATTTACACC